AAGCCAGAGTCCAATGGCTCAGAGCAGGTGACAGAAACACCAAGTACTTTCAAGCCTCAGTGAAACAAAGAAGAGCTCAGAACAACCAGAACAATCTGATGAACTCTTCAGGAAAGAAGTGTAGCAATGATAAGGAGATCTTGGATGATGTTCAGGCTTACTTTGCTAATCTTTAGAGGACCTTTGATCCACTTTTGAATAGCTGCAACATGGAAGGTATACCTCTATCAATCACAGAGGACATAAATGCAGATCTTACCAGAAAGGTTGAAGAAGTAGAGATTAACAAAGCCCTGAAGGAAATGAAGCAGAGCAAAGCCCCTAAATAGATGGCATGAGCCCAACCTTCTTCCAAAAATCCTGGCCCACTGTAAAAAATCTCATTTGTAAAGTTGTTGAAACCTTTTTTTGCTCAAGGAAGATTGCTTAAAAACATCAACCATACGGTGCTCACCCTCATCCCTGAAATAAAAAAACCTAAATCATTTCAGATATGAGACCAATCAACCTTTGTACTGTCCTCTAGAAGATTATCTCAAAAATCATTGCAAACAAGCTGAAACGTATCTTGCATCATTGCATCTCTCCTGCACAATCAACTTTTATCCAAGGTAGACAAATTTTAAACAATATCATTTTAGCGAATGAGTGTTTTCGTCATCTTAATAGTAAGAGGTCTGGTAAAAATCAGGTTATGGCTATTAAACTTAAGCATTTGACAGAATAGAATGGGGCTTTATTGTTAAAATCTGCAAAAAAAAAAAAAAATAAAAATAAAAAAAATAAAAAAATTGGGTTCTCTGATCTTTTTAATTCTTGGGTCATGGCTTGTGTATGCACTTCATCTTTCTCCTTTAATATTAATGGTCATGCACTGGGTTGTCTACTGCCCACTAGAGGTCTGAGACAGGGTGATCCCCTGTCTCCTTACTTATTCATCATCATTACTGAAGCTTTCTCTAACCTCATTAACCAAGCTTGCTTGCATCATGGTTTTGAAGGCCTTAAGATTGCCAGAAACTCCCCCATTGTATCTCACCTTTTTTTTTACACATGACACAATTTTGTTTTGTAATGATGATAATTTCCATGCTGATTTGATCCTCAGAATCCTCAATGACTATGGTCTTTCTTCTGGCCATGTTGTTAATCTAGAAAAATCCTCCATTTTCTTTTCTAAAAACACAGCCCTTCACACTAAAGACTTTATCTATATGAAGTTGAATGGCATCTCTAGAGTGACTACTTCCAAATACCTTGGTCTCCCACTGGTAGGTAGATCAAAAAGAGACACTTTTCAATTTGTTACAGAGTATGTTATTCAAAGGGTTACAGGTTCAAAGAATTGCTACCTCAGCAAAGCTGGGAGGGAAGTTTTAATTAAGTCTGTCTTAGAGGCTTTGCCCACTTATGTCATGTCCTATTGTAGATTTCCTAGTGGTATTTGTGAGAACATCTGTAGAGCCATTTCTAATTTTTGGTGGGGGAAGATGGAGAATGGGTTAGGATAATCCATTGGTGTAACTGGAATTTGCTGTCTAGGTCTAAAGTCAAGGGTAGGATGGAGTTCAAGAATTTTAAGGCTTTCAATGAGGCTCTAATTGTTAAAAAACTATGGAGACTTATCACCAAGCCAAATGTTTTATCTAGTAGGGTCATCAGAGGCAAATAGTCCTGGAGAAAAGATATTTTTGAGGTTAGGCCTAGAAATGGAGACTCCTAGCTGTGGAAGAGCTTGTTGGATGCCAGAAAGTCTTTACAGCTAGGAGCTAGATTCCAGGTTGGGGATGGGAAATCTATTAAGATATGGGACTGTCCTTGGCTCCCTAATTTGTCTAGTTTTAACATGTTAGCACTTTTGAAGGAGATAGTGGTAAACAGTGGGATGTTGACTTGATAACTCAAACTTTTAATCCTTTTGTGGCTAGCTAGATCTTAAGCACTCACATCAGCAGCTGTGGTATGAAGGATAAGCTGATTTGGCATTGGCACTGTTGTTAAACGATTTTGTAACAACATAAAATGTACACCCCCTTTTGTGAATAGGGGGTATAAGGTTTATAGGGATTTGTAGTGATTTTTGATAGGATTTTTGTGTGTCTTGATGAAATAAAAGGCCAAGAAATCAAAACCAGAGAATTGAATGTCTGTATGTATTATCATGAGGGATTTTTTTTTATGATGAATTTGTGATGGATGATTATCCTGCTGAGGGCGGTGCCCTTAGCTTAGCTGATAAGGGAAAAATTAAAAAGTGTCCTTATCCCTATCTATTTAGCCCCTAATTATATTTGGGCTAATATCGGCACGTATATCTAACGGGTTTTTACGATAAAACATGACCGCGCAGGGCCCAATAAGAAATATGACCGCGCAGGGCCCAATAATAAATATGACCGCGCAGGGCCCAATAATAAATATGACCGTGCAGGGTCCAATAATAAATAATAAATAATAGCTCCGACTAATATTTGTCTTGTCAACAATTGACGTGTCCATCTAAGTAGCTTTTTGTGATATCCGGGTCGAGTTGGCGGTTCATGAATACGGACCTCGTCTTCTGGGAACTCGATCAATATTAAACATATAAAAGAACCTGCTATTTTATATTTATTTAATATCCATGTGTAATATTTTAATAGGCGAGGCCAAAATTAGGTAACAACAGGCACCCTAAAGGGCAGCTCACTGTCAAAGGAGTATATAATTCTATCCTAACTCTGCAATCTCAAAATCTTGAAAGCACAGGACCTTTCCCAAGGCAACCCTGGCAGGAGAAAATATGGAAAACCAATTGGAAGCTAACCATTGCTAATAAGCTGAAACCATCATTTGGAGATGCTGGAATGGCTTTATTAGCGCAAACAAAATCCTGTAGATTAGAAGAATTGTTGTGGATGTCATCTGCAGGTTGTGTGGTGAACATGAAGAGGATCTCAATCACATCTTCTTCAATTAAATCGTAGCCAAAATTGGCTGGAAGTTACTGGGGTTTAGTAGAAATATCTTATATGATAATAATTACAAATTTCAAATATGGTGGCAGGATATCTGCAAGAAGAAAGTATAATGCCAACTTCAGGACATAATTAGTCTCTCTACCTACCTGCTATGGTAGCTGTGGAAGACTAGAAACATATGAATTTTGTAAGACAAATGGATAGAGGAGAGAATGGTGGTTGAGCTTGCTTAAAGAGACTGGATTGAGTTTACCACGTCATCTCTAACAGAAGATCAACCACAAGTAATATCACATCAACCCTCAGGTGTCATTGCTCCTGCTGAGGACATTGTTGAGACAAGGGTAGAACAACTTTCTCTAAGTTTCAGTGCCTCTTTAGCACAAGATGGCTCAGTTGGGGTTGGATGCATTGGGTTGGACATGGGCTCTAAAGAACTCTCTTGGTCAACAGTGCTTCCATATGCAGATTGTGAGGAAACTACAAATCTTCTGGTCATTAGATGAGGTCTAATGCAACTATCTTCTTGTTCTGATCATGGGGGAAAATTCCTCACATGCTGCTTGGGTGTTCATGTGTGATTTTACACCATATTTATATAGTATCTAGAGCCTTTTCATTTCATTATTGGTGTATAAGTTCATTATTGTGCTTTTATTCTAAT